AGAAGAACCCACCCTAGTACTTTAAACTATGGAATGCTCAAAGCAGCAGTCACACTCCAGAGAATAAAATGCTTGTATAGAGGAAAAGACACAATTATCAAAGAGGCAGACTTCAGAAATTACCTCCAAGAGCAGAGCCTGGGCTTTCCGCTCTGGCAATAAGCGCAGCCCTGCCGTCGCCTTGAGCACCACAGGTGTCCTTTCCCAGTGGCTTCGGGGGATTGAGTCCTTGGCCACCTCTAACAGCTCCTGCACAGTCTCGGCGCCCTTCAAAGAGAGCACCCGTCATCTGGTGACCTCCAGTCTGTCCCTGCAATGAGCTCTGGGGAGCCACACGGTGTGCGGCCGGAGCACCAACTCCTCTGCTCTGTGACCACAGCAACCCAGAGATGTGGGGTGCTTCCAAGAGATATCCATTGTGCTCGCTTCGGCAGCACATATACCAAGAGATACCATTTAATTGTTCGCTTGTTTTTTAAGAGAGGGTCTCATACTACAGTCCAGCCTGGTTTTGAACTTGAAATTCTCTTGTCTCAGCTTCCTGGTGATTACAGGCTTGAACCTTTATGCCCAGCTCCATTTCATTTTCTGGGTTTTGTCTCGTTTTGTTTGGTACTAGGAATTGAACTCACATGACCTCCCGTTTGCCAGGCAGGCACCATGCCACGGACCCATATCCCTGGCCCTCCATGCATTTTAATACCTATAATACAAGCCTATAAGGATATCTATAATCCTTTCATAGTATGGTCATTTCGGCTGACTTTTTCTTCTTCTTCTTCTTGAGGTAATGTTTAAATTGGCTTTGAACTCACTATATAGCCCAGCCTGGCCCAGAACTCTTGGGCCTCAGCCTCCTAGTGCTGGCAATAAATTCTACTGAGTTACAAAATCTGGGTGCGGTGTACGTACTCCGCAGTTGGAGCCAGGGTCAACTGCCTGCCCTGTGACCTCTCCCAGGTTGCCTGGCCTACACAGGACTGGCTTTCCTCAGGCAGGACAGCAGCCATGCCTCATACCACCACTGAACTGCTGAACGCATCAGGCACACAGCTCACGGAGCTGTCCCACACACACTAGCCGTGGCCGCTGTGCTTGTCCTAAAGACCAGGCTCATTCTGTCAGGCTCATTTTGTATCACTGGCATCTATAATGCATAGGTACAGCAGACATGCCATTTACAATAAATGAAAATTATTCTGTAAAATCCAGTAGTTCACCTGCATGGTGGTACATGCCTGTAACCACAGCTACTAGGGGGGCTGAGACAGGATGACTGCCAGTTTGAGGTTGGTCTGAGCAAATTCATGAGACCCAGTCTCAATACAAATTTTTTTTTTTTTTTTTCTTTCCAGAACCAGGGATTGAACTCAGGACCATGAGCTTGCCAGGCAGGTCAATACAAAATTTTTTAAAAATTTAAAAAGGTGGGGGACTGGGGACAGACCCTGGGTAAGGTGGCCTCCTGGCACACACAGGCCTGGGTTTGATTCCCAGCAGTATAACATCACAGTCGCTTCTCAGCGTCTATCATTTTCTTTTTTTTTGCGGAACTGGGGATTGAACTCAGACCCTTGTGCTTGCCAGGGAAGCAGTTATTCCACTGAGCCATCTCCCCGGCCCACTAAAGGAAGGAGGGTTTTTTTTTGTTTGTTTGTTTTTGTTTTTCTTTAGGCTGCGTTAAGGGCAAGTCTGGTCCAGCTTCTGGAGCTGGGAATCGAACTGCGGTCCTACGCGCCTGCCTGCATTTACCCAAGCAGCGCTTTAAACAACAGAGCTATCTGGCAAAGCCTAAACTATCACAGAGGCCTTTTTTTTCTTTTTTTGGTGGTACCAGGGATTGAACTCAGGACCTCGTTCTTACCAGGCAAGTGCTTATTCTACTGCGCTATCTCCCCGGCCCTGATCATTTTCCAATAACGTATTTGAGTTCAGCAGCTTTAATTGCTTACCACGTTAACACTGAGAACCTGTCCTCTTGGGTTTCAAGCTCACACCATACTGTCCCCCTTTTCTGTTTGCACAGGCCTCTCGCTGACCTTGCAGACTCCGGGGGACCCTGACGCAGCCTGGGAGCCTGGGCAGGATGTGCATGCCCCAGCAGGCGTCCACACCATCATTTCTCTGCTGTTTAAGATGGGTCTTGTTATTTGTCCAGGCTAGCTTCAAACTCATGACCTTCCCGCCCCAGTCTCAAGCTCTGGGGTCACACAGGTGCACACACAATGCCTGGCACCTCCGCCCGCTCTTAGTGCCAGGTCTTCCCTTGGTTAATGATTGCTCTTTGGCACCAAACAGTATTTTATGTCTACTACCAAAGTCCAACCTCCCGCCCTCTCTGTTATCTCAGTGGTGGCACAAGACACACTGGCCATGGCATGCTGCAGGACACAGGTGGGAAACGCAGCCAACAGGGACCGCGCACTCCACATGTCCTTCACCACCAAGAGCTGTCACCACGGGCTGCTGCCTAATGCCTCAGGAACAGGCCCAGTTCCCTTCCTCATGAGGAACTTTGTTTTCATTTTTTAGATTTTTTTCAGATAAGGTCTCATTATGGAGCTCAGGCTGGCCTTGAACTTGCGGCAATGCTCCTGCCTGAGCCTCCCCAGTGCTGGATTACAGGCACGTGCCGCTCCGCTCAGCTTTACGAGGCACTCTGAAATAAGACTTTCTATCCCTCACTATACTGTAGACTTCATATACTATAGAACTTCACACCTATCTTACTTACACTGAATTGCCTTCAACTCAGATCTTACATGCTAAGTACAAAGAGAGCAAAGGCTGGTGTCATTCCTGCACAAGCACCACCCATTTTCTAGCCTCCACTTCAACCCTCATGAGCCTGACACATACAAGGACCAAAATCCAGGAGACTGAAAACAGCACTGGCTTCACATGTGCTCCCAATGTCATTCCTGAGCAGCAGGAGGTAGGGAACAGCAGTGGTGTGGCCGAGTGACCAAGGCGCCAAGAATCAACTCACCCGCTTCGGTTGATCTACAAAAGCAGAAAGTCCTGGCTTCAAAGATTCAAAAATTTCCCCTTCCAGAACTGGAAGCTGTCCTATTTTTGCCCCAGAAGAAAAAGAAGAGAGATGGCTGATTACCAGGTCATAGGTGGCTAGTGTGCGAAAGCCTTCCACAACTTGCGAGGCTAACCTACTCCTCCCCAGCTAAGGCACGGCAGTGCCTGCCTCTGCAGCACTGCAACCCCAAAGGACCCTGCCAAGTTCCTACTCCTCCCCAGCTCCTTAGGCGGCCTGAGGGAGGAGCCGACAGTGCAGAGAAAGTTCACCTTCAGGATCCCTAGTCCCTTCTCCAAGGATGACTGGGAACCCCCCATGTGATCTTTCCCTGTACTGATCCCTGGGGTATTAACCAACTTCAGAGAAAGAAAAGGACAAATGAGCTCTATTTCTTGGACATATGGGTTTCAGAACACAGACTTCCCATCAAATTAAATTATGTGTTTAAAATCCGTCTTCTCCGAAGGAAGACACTCACTAGGAGATTCTTGCGCACACCCCGCACCTCAGCAGGTCTGTTTGTGGGGCAGCTAGGGCCTGACCTCCGACTTAGGGACCTACCGCACTTACCCTGGGTTTTCTGCACAAAAGTATACACATGAATGCGAGTGCCGGTGCTCCCTGCATCAAACATAATTCCATAGAAGGTGCTGGCACTGACGTTGACAGGGCACATGGAAGACAAGAAGACGCCTTCAAACCAAGTCCGCTGGTCTCTGGGGAGCACTGTGCTACTCACACAGACCATCACGAGCGCCAGGCAGACAGCACTCCGGCCAGCGGCCATGCTCTCCCCAAGCTGTCACACTCCCGCGGGGCCTTGCAGGAGAAAGGCGCACCAGGTTAGTCCAATCGGGTCTGCCGGTTAACCTGTGAAAAAACACAGCATGGAAATCCCACCCAGGCCCCTAATAACCAGCACAACAGGCTAAACCAGGGCAACATAAACCCTCAGCGCCCTTTCTGAAGGACATCCGATTCTGAAAAAACAAACCGGGATCAAAAGCTTATTTTCTCATGCTTTGCTTTTGATTCTAAGGTGGTTCTCACACATACAAAGGCTGTCTCTGCCATCCTGGCCCTACGGTTGAGTATAATTTTGTTTTTTATTTTGACAATTTTCCCTTGAGGGTTTTTTTTTTTTAAATGTATTTGGTATACGGTCTCACTCCACAGCTCAGACTTGTAGAGATGGTTTTCAGTCTCCCCAGCACTGGGATTACAGGCATGTGCCACCACACCTGGACTCTGTGGCCGGCTCAGTGTGCCCAGGGCCGGGGCTGGCGCAGCATGCGGTGCTGGGGATCGAACCCAGCTGCGCACTTGCCTAAGCAGGTGCTTAGTCTGCTGAGCTATCTCCAGGCCCTTTTCCTTGAGATTTTTAAAATTTTTTTTTCCATAATTTTATTGAGAGACAAATAGCAATGAGAGTTTCAAATCAAATTGGTATGACAGTTTCAATAATTAACACATTACATACTCTCTTCCTAGTGGTTATCTCCTGTACAAGATGCAGACATGATATCCTATTTACAAACACTATTACAACAAATCCCTCTATTCATTAAGAGAATGTAACTATATATCTATTCTAACCATTTTGAATACATAGATACAAAATGGACATTTATCTGTATCCCCTTTTTTGTTTAGTTCCATCATTTGAATATTATAGGTGTGTTAACTCAGTAAAATATTCTAAAAGAGTCCAGTAGTCCAAAATAGTATGGGTCTTCCACTTGACTGGCAGTGTCAGAAATTGCTGACCTGAGTCCCCTACAGTTCACCATGGCTTTATTTCTTATACTTTGTTTTTATACTTTTCTGCTGGATGGTTAAGACCAAGGTAAAGCAGGACCTATGCAACAAGAGTTGTAGCTTTTAGATCTGATAAGGTCAGTGAAATTCCCTTGGGATTTATCCTGAGATCCTGTACCTCACATTGTAGATCCTTTGTCAGTGTCAGCCATGTGGATGAGTCACGGCCATTGCTTGGCCAATGTGCTCTCTGTGAAAGCCTGAGAGAATGTTTTCTTTCCATGTGACTCTCCTTAGGCACAGTCTACATCATCGATCACTTTCCTCTTTGGCCCCATAATCTCCTTGATCAGAAAATTTGGGACACTACTGAGTTACATGACGTTACAATACAAGTTCTCATATGTTTTGAGTCTTAATTGACCTTGGAAGGCTAGGGCCAAAATGTTGGCTTTCCTTGCAGCCCTCCTTTTTCTCTAATTTTGGTCTGCAAACTTAGTTTGTTAATCCTCCAGAAGAGAAGCTTATTGTTATTACCACACAACCTAGGCTGTTAAGCTTAACCTCTCTATCTGTCTGAATATCAAACATTTTAGGCATAAACTGGAACAGTTATTTTTCATCAAGTATTTTTTTTTTATTTTTTTTATTTTTTTATTTATTTGAGAGAGAGAGAGAGAGAGAGAGAGAGAGAGAGAGAGAGTGAGTGGTATGTGTGTGTGTGGCCAGCTCAGCCCACCAGGGGGCGGGGCTGGCTGGCATGTGGTGCTGGGGGATTGAACCGCGGTCCCTGATGCTTTGCTAAGCTTGTTCTAAGTGGGTGCTTTAGACCACTGAGCCATCTCTCCAGCCCTCATCAAGTATTGATATGTTGAACTTTAAGTCCCTACAGAATATGATGAAAAAACATTTAAAAAATTAAAATATATTTTAAAAATAGGCATAAAGAATTATTCTTATGTTTATACATAAGTCCAGAAATCTAACCCTATACAACCTTGTAGCAGGACAGTCCCACAACATTCCTTTTCCTGTCTCTTGCCTTTATTCACCACCCCCTCCTTTTTGAACAATCATCTACCCGAGAGACAGCACAGCAGCAACTGGCATGTCATGACAAGCAGCCCGTATTCAGAAGACCAGAATGACAGGCACTCCAAGCATGAACCTACTATTATAAATTGCCATCTTCAGTGCAGTTGCTTAGTTCACAGGTTTCCTTGAGATCTTAATACCCTCTCTCATTTTTCTTTTTCCTTCATTCATCCTTCGATTGATAAGAAGCTTCAACTTCTGAATTAAGTTTTGTCTTTTGGAGACAGGGTTTCACTATGCAGAATGGATGGCCTGGAACTCACTGTGTAGCCCAGGCTGGCCTTGAACTCACAGTAATCCTTCCACTTCAGCCTCCTGAGTACTGGGATTATAGGTGTGTACCTATAGGTATGGATCCAGCATAAGTTACAAAGAGGTTATTAAAAAGTCCTAACATTGGAGCATTCTCAGCCTTCAAAAGTCAGACCCCTGGACTGTCGTCCGTGATCAACACTGCTGACAGTGATTGTACGTATGATACTTCAAGGAAATACATAAACTTTAATACACCGAAGTAGATCATAATGGGTTTTAACGAGAGCCTTCATAGGTTCCAGGCCATGCTATGCCCACAGAACCGAGAGAAAATGGACAGATTAAGGCGAAGGTTCCACGCCTTGCTGAAAATCATAAAGCAAATCAGTAACAAAACCCAGAACTAGGGGGCTGGAGAGATGGCTCAGTGGTCTAAAGCACCTACTTGGAACAAGCTTGGCAAAGCGCAGCGACCGCGGTTCGATCCCCCAGCACCACATGCCAGCCAGCCGTGCCCCCTGGTGGGCTGAGCTGGACGGACACACACACACACACACACACAC